AATTTGACAGGATGGGTAGCTGCCTAGTGGGATTTTCCCTGAAGATGTAAATCAGAAAGGATGGATGTGATATTTGCCTTTTTTTTTTTTTTTTTAATGTGCAGATGACTGCACATCTATTTTCCTAGTTTGAGTGTTTATTATAAATATGACCTTTATTTATTTATTTATTTAGAATAGTCAGGTGAAAGGAAACTGAAATATATCTTGCTGTGTCTCTATCCTAGATCTCTTAATTTGTTGCTGATTGCTGTGATTCCTGGGAATTTATGTAACCATTCCTCAGCTGGACAGGGGAGAGAAAATAGTGGAAGGTTCATGGGTCAAGGTAAGGACAGGGAGAGATCACTCACCAGTTACCGTCTCAGGCAAAACACGCTTGGGAAATTGGCTTAATTTTACTAGCAATCAAGTTAGAGTAGGATAATGAGAAATAATGAGGCTGCAGGGGAATCTGCTCTGGAGCACCTCCTCCTGCTCACTGACCTGGTGCCTGCACAGCTGTTTCTCACATTCTCCCTCTCCTCTCTGCAGCTGCAGGTTGTTGCACAATTGTCCCCCTTCTTGGCTCTGTTATCCCACAGATGGCTGGCGTTGGCTCCCTTGGAAGCGTGGAGGAGCTTCTCACAGCAGCCACCCGTCACCCCCTCTGCTACCAAACTTCACCACACAAACCCAATATACACACATTGTGCTCTCAAATTATCTAGAACAAAAAAAATTGATTCCCTCATGTTTGTGACAGAGATTTGTAATTAATTTTTCAGATAATAGCATTTGCGTAGGAGCAACTTGATTTTTTTGGAATGTATAATACAAAGCTGTGCATCAGACATAAATTCTATATATTATATCTTGGCATATATAGGGTGTGATGTTCGATATTCAACATACAGAATCTAACCTTTACTATATTTTGTACAACTTCTGAGTTAGTTATTTCAAAATTAACAACTGCATATTTATATTTAGATGCTTAGAAGAAAGAAATTGCCTCTTAATGTTTAAAGAATTATCACTTTGTTAAAAAGCGAGCTTCTCAGTAGTTTTGAAAAACAGCATAAAAAGTTACTAATGTTTAAAAGTTCTATTTTCTTAACAAGTATTCCATCCTTTTTATCAGGCCTTTGTTGAATATGCTATTGGATTGTCCAGCAAATCAATAAAGTTCAAAGAACAAAAGCAAGCAATTTATATCTCACAGGTATTGCAAAATGATGCCCTTTGGTTAGGAAAGTCTGTTTGCAAAAGTTCCATGAAAGCAGCTTTTAGCAACGTGACACATCAAAATAACAGTTATGTAAATATTATATTAAAATACTCAGGTTTATTGTATTAATAGTCTGGAATTTTCAGTGGCTCTGGTGTTCAGTATTACCTTACATGACAGTCTGCAAATGTATAAGATTGACAGAGGACTTAAACCAGAAATATCTTGGTTCTAATTTGCAAAGGGTGAAATGAGGGAAGTGCAGAGTAGTGGAATGCAGCACGCTTGGACAATTAATTCAGAAAGTGTGTCTTTTTTTTTTAATAGCATTTAATGGTACATACAAAAAGAACACTGAACAAGGAAATCAAAGAAATTATTTTTGCTCATGAGTATAATAGCTCTATTTTTAATCCTTGGAAAGAAAAACAGGAGTTTGCCTGTAATGTAGAGTCAGACAAACTCTGCATTACCAACGGCCCTGTGCTGCACACCCCTGGGTGGCTGCAGGAGAACAGGCTGTGAGTTGTTTGCAGTGTTCCTGAACAAGAGCTGAGCCTGTGGGAAGCAATTCTCACCACACCTAGTGATGAAAGGTTTGCTTCAATGTGAAATTTGGCTCTTTCACCTGAAACTTGAATCACTGTACATGTTATGGGGACACGTGTCTGAATTTAGAGTTTTTCTGTTTGAGCACAGATATGTGACTAAATATAGGTGAAGTCATTAAGGTTGCACTGTCCTCTGACACCAAGTCCAGTAGGTTTATGTTCCATATTCCACAGCAACAGATTTTTGAAGTATCTGCACAGATGAGTAAAACCAATATCCTTTGTCTAGGAAGGAAAAAAAGTCTTCAATCTATACTTGATAAAACATCATAGCCTAAAATTGATGTATTTTATCAAATTCACCTTTCACTACAATAGGGCAGTTTTTTACATTTTGGAAGACTGAAGCAACAGTGAATGATTCAGGAAGACTAGTCTGAACAATACTGGAAAAAAGGTTATGATATGAAACTAAAACCTAACACTAGTTCCTTTAAAAAGAATAAGAGGATTTATGCATTCACAGAAAAAACTATGATTTTGCATAAGTTTAAGAAAAAGAAGAATCTCTCCACTCCTTCTGTAATGCACTTAGAAAATTTTCCTGTCCCATGGTTTGTTCTACATGAGGGAAAGAACCCCAAGCAACTTAATGTAAATGTGTCTGATCTTCAGAACTTTTCAAGGTGTTTGGGGGAAAACATATGCAATTATTAAAAGTAAAATTGCTTTCTCACTGAGTTATGTACAAACATCAACAAAGATAACATGAGAATTATAGATGTCATATTAATGAATGATAGTAGCCATTTCAAATATTTGTATGCATATATAATCACATTTTGCAGATTTTGGTATGTAACTGGAGAGATTTTAATCAGTCCACTCAAATATCTTACTGCTCATTTTATGACAAAATACTCAATTCTTTCAAGTTTCCCACCGTATTTCCTAAGGAATGTGAACATCTTTTTGACTCACAGAGGGAAAAGGTCATTTGTGTTCCTTGGTGCTCTGTTTCCTCCTTGAAAACCTGGAAGGGAAGTGCCCTGTTCTGTTTTCTGAAGGAAACGTGATGGATGATCTGTCACAGGATATATGATAGCACAGGAAGCCAGTGTAACAGCAAAACCCCTCTCATGAATACATTTGTCTGTTTTGGTAGATGAATCTCTCAAGGTTCAGCTTGCAGAGGTGCAGCTGTTTCTCCACTGCAGTGAGCAGCAAAACCACTTCCCTCAGAGGAAGAGTTTTGAACTGCTGCTGCTGCTCAAGTCAGTATTCAAAGCTAATTTATTAAACACACTTTTTGCATGAGGCTTAACAAAGAGTGCTGATAACCACACTGGCACTGACCAGTAGCTGCCACTATTCTTAACTTGGGGGTTTTTGTTTCAATTTCAATTCAAGTCAGTGTGCATTTTCAGAAATATAACCCATGTCAAATAGTAGTTACACCAACTGAGCCTCAAATTGCTCAAAGAGAAATTAATTCCTGATTTCCAGGTGCATTTGGTCACAAATGAATAAAAGACCATGAATATTACACTGAATGAGTAAAATTATGCTTCTGATCCAGAGGAGGGCAATCTAGCCCTAAAAAAACCCCAAAACAAAAACATAGCAAAAAACCCAACCTGAACCAGACTTTAAAACCCCCATCAAAACAACAAACTAGATGAGTTCCCTGCTCTCCTAAGGTTGGCTATTTTTGATTGACACACTCATTTACACAGCAAAGCATCTTTAGTTTTCCATAGTTCAGAGGAAAACAGCATTGTTACAAGCCATTCTTTTTATGGGAGAAGGAAACAAGTCAATATCAGGAATAAAGTCTGCCACACTCTTCTCCATACCACAAAGAAACTTTAGTGTTTATTATTGTACCACTGAGATGTAACTGATACCAAAACCCACCAACAGTGTTTTCTGAGCAACAACCCTGATGGTTGTTGGTAACCAGGTTAGACTGTGCTTTGTATTTAATTGGTATTGTCTGTCCAATCTTTAATTGTTATTAAATCTGTTACTTTTAGAAAAATAAAAAATAGGGAAAAGCATAAGGATAGTAAGAATGGTAAATGCATGAAATTATTACAAATTTGTTAATTCTCTATAAAATATTTTATTAGCTTGAAGTGTACTGAATACCTTGTTGCTAAAACTGAATTTAAATTCAAATCGCTTTTAATTTCTTCTATTTTTCCTGTTCAGCTCTTGAATACTCACCCTACTGTTTATACTGAGGAAAAGAGTCTTTAATAAATGTTTAAAAATTAGGATTTAGACAACAACTTGCTTAAAAATGTAAAATGTGATACTTGAACTCGTAAATCTATCCAAGTATTTGCAATTACTTGTTTGACATTTGCAAGGGCTGAAACTAAGAATGCCTTCACATTGCCTCAGGATCCAAGGCTGATCCATTCCTCACCATGTCTGGTCTTGTCCCAAGAGATGAGGTAAGTCAAACAGGTTCTCAAACTTCAATTTTATGAGACAAAGGCCATTATACTCCAACCAGCAAGGAGGAATCTACTCACTGTGTATCTCTCTGTGCAGCTGTGGATCTCAGTGAGCTGCCTGAGAGGAAGAAAGTAATGCCCAGTCCAAGTCACTCCAGAATCACTGTAGTAGGAATGGATATTGCTAAATATTTGCACTCTGTTCTGCCTGACACAGCTCTCAGAGGCACAAGGAACATGGGTCTGTGACTCTGTTCACTAATAGGCTGTAACCAGTAAAAATTCCAGTACCTACAGGACTTACTTTAATGCTACTGAGGAAAAGTTCCTCAGTTATGTCTCACTGGACAGCTGGAACTTTTGTTACTGTTTAGAACAGAAGAAGAAATGAGAAGTGCACTGTCATGGTGCTTGCTATTATAATGCTCTTGCTGAAGTGACCTGGGAAAGATAAACCTTTATTGGACTTACTCATAATGTGATGTAGGTTTTATTTTTCATATCCCCTGGGCCTGTGATAATAGTTTACCAACTTCTGCTAAGATAACCATTTTTTTTCTTAGTTTTCAGATACTGGACTGTGTCTTAGGTAGCTCACTCTTTTCAGGATATTAAAAAAACCATGATTCATTCTCTCTTGAACATCTTGAGTTCTCCACAAGTTAAGAACTGCATTGTTTAAATAAAAATACTCAGTACTGAGATTTACTTACAACTTTATATATTTAGTAACTAAAATAGCATTTGAATAGAAATAAATTACAGAAATTGAAATGCATTGACCATGGTAATCTGTTTAATAAATTAAGACAAAATATTAAATATTTGTAAGAAATCAATACCAAAAAATCAAAATAATTTACTTTAAATTGTAGTATAAAAAGATAGATCTGATTCAAATCTATATTTATCTTCTAAGAGAATCAGTACTTTGTCTTGTTTACTAGTATGAGCCATTACCTCAAGACCCTGTTAAATTACAGTTCAGTTTCAAAGTTCTGAAACATCAAACAAATTTGAACCAGAAGTAATTCTGTAACAAAAGAACAGATTTTAAACAAATTTCATTCTTTACCTTAAATTAAACATCACAATACCTCTATCACGTTCTAAGTCAGGTGTCTGCCTTAGTCAGAGATGAACAAAGCATGGAAAGCAACAAAGAATTTTTTGTAACAGCAAATGCAGTGAACAAACCCAGTGATCACACGCTCACTACTCTGTCTACAGGGCAGCAAACTTGTTATCCTGAATTTGGATTACAATGAGTTAGTGTACTGACTGTGAGCAACTGTATCAATGGTGAGGGCAACCTTCCTGGTGGAGTCTCCAAAGCTTTGAAGAATCCCAACATAAAAAGAAAGGGCTCAGTTCTGCAAAGTGAGTATTTCTTCATCATCGTGTTAGTACCCTCAAAGGGAAAAAAGTGCCTGTCCATTTGCAGCATTGCACAGCAGTCTAGTAAAACAATTCCCATAAAATATTATTTTAATGTATTATATTACTTTAACGAGATCTGAGCCTCAAATTGCTCAGAGAAATTAATTCCTGATTTCCAGGTGCATTGTAGCCTCTGAACAAATGTAACAGGACAAAGTAATGGAAAAAATGTTGCTTCTGTCTGAACATGTTTAATCCAGCAATCTGAGAAACATAAATGTCATTAATATTTCCCTTTCTTCTGTGCTTGTTTGCCTGTGCATGTGGCAAGGCCTTGTGCCATGGCTTTTACATGTGTGCAGGTTTACAGTCTTTCCCACAAAGAAAGCACACCAGGAAAGTGTGGCAGTAACTGTGGGGGGTGTGCTGTGTGCTGGCACTGAAAAATACTTTCAACACAAATGTGGTCTACCTTAGAAAAGGCCATGAGAATTGTCTTTTTCAGTTATCTTAACGTGAGTAAAACCTCCAATCATATGGACATTACTCAGCATCTTTCCAAATATTCCAGTCAGCTCTATGAATGGATAAATGCTTAAATGTGACCTAGGCAAGGCTATAAAGACTGGACATGTGTTCCCTAGGGAGGGTTAATAAAATGGCTGGCTACATCTAAAAAAGTACCTGCCCCAAGTTTAGACAAAATCCAACTAAGTAGTACAACTACTGATTTTTTTTTTACACCTACAAAGAATAAAAACAGAACCTTCAGAAAGAAAATTTTTGAGAACAAGAGTGATTTTTCTAATGAGCAGCATCGATTTTGAAGTTGCCAGGATGTCTAAACTACTCCCAACCAAAGGCTAATGGCAGCTCACTGGGCTCCCCAAAGGACACCCCAGATCAGCAGCAGCACAGAACAGAGAGCAGAGCAGTGCTCCTCTCTTTGGGGAGCTTTGATTGCAATGTTTGCATTGAGGCTGCTCGGATTTGCCATGTCTGTACCAGCATAACCATCCTCCTCCTCCTCCTCCTCGGTACCGGGAAAAGCCGGTGCTCATGAGTGACCCTTTGCTGCCCTCTGCCCTCCGCGGAGCCGGTTTCTCAGTGAAATGTGATTCTCTGGGCTTCCTGTGAGAGCCCCAGCAGCCGGAATCTCTCGGCTGGAGGAGTGGCAAAGTAGGTTTTCTGCTCCTCCGAGTACCTTTCCTTCACTTCAATGATGTCCCTGTAGCGGCCGTCCTGCCAGTGGAAGTTGAACAGCTCCAGCAGCTCAATCCTCTTCTCCTCGGAGCTCACACAGTCCACAGGGGGGGGCTGCTCCAGGAACGGCACCTGGATGGCCGGGAAGAGCAGCAGAGCTCGGATAGCAAACCAGCCACCATACTTGGGATGGATACAAACGCCAAAGATCTTCTGGAAGAAAAAAAATATCCAGGCTGCCTCACTTTGTGTCTAATCAAGGCTAGAGTTCTAAGCATCCATCAGATGCTTCTCACTCTCCCAACCTTCTCTTGGAGAGCTGTACAGAGCAGAAGGGAAAACTTTCCTGAACGTGTGGCTCGAAGCACTGCATTTCACTCCCACTTTCCTGTGCCCACACACACCTCCCTGGAATGTGGGGAAAGGTTCCTTTCTGAAAATCTATTACAGAAATTAACCACAGTGCATTTTCCCCCCAGTTTGTAATGCTCTAAGCAACAGGTTTTCCTTTACACTGCCATTTATTCTTCTATCTAAGTAGGTTTAACAGATTAAGATATTTCTCTCCATGCACATCCCCCTACTACCCTGAAGAATCTTGGAAGCTTCCAATTCCCACCTGAAACACTTCATGAACCTGTACGTACTCTGGACTTTGTAGCTTCCTGCAAGATGAACTAGTGACTAGTGAGCAAACAATCACTGTACAGTTCAATGTTTGCAGTTCAGTGGTTCTTCCCAGACTGTGTTTCTGCCTCACCTTTTTCCCCCAAGGATCGAGCTTCACATCCTTCCTTTGGTAGTAATATGCAGCTCCAGCAACGTGGGCAGCTGTCTGTGCCAGGAACTTGGGCTTTCGGCTCGGCAGCATCTCGTAATCAAACATGATATCCACCCTCTGGTCAGGGAATTTCTGGGAAAATATCAAAATATCAGCCCAGGCTCATGGAAAAAGCCTTGCCACTCCAGAACTGCTAGATGGCAGCAAATCAGGCACATTTGAAGCCTGCAGACTCCCACATCCTGCTGCTGAATTCTATCAGCAGGTTGGAGGCTGTGGGCATTCAGCCTGTGCCTGCAGAGCTCCCTCACAGCTGTGAGATGCAATCCAGAGGCAGAACATGCAAGTAAAGCACCCAAAGGCCATGCTCCCTCCTTCAGGAATAATGCTTCACCCTTCCAAAGAACAGGGCAGGAGCCTGCAGGGCTTTGTCTGCTGCTCAACCCACCTGGTTATGTGCCACAGCACTACATGGAATGGGTATTTCAGCTTCTTACCTCCTTCACACGTGATAAATGATGGGAAACACACTGATCTACAGGATCCCTGATTATTTTTAATCGTTCTTTGCTCACAAAAGGCTTAAGGGCCTTGTCAAACATGGATGGCGTGCTGAGGACCACGAAGGCCAGTGTGTCATCTGGGTAGGGGAGGTGGAAGGCTGGCTGGAGAACAGCATTGTACCACCCAACCTTGGCAAAGAAACACAAATTTCCATTAGAATACAGACACCACTCTAGTGGACATGCAGGAATGTAAAAATGTGGAAATAACTGTAGCCCCCTTCATTTGCAACCCAGATGGGCAACCTGCCCAGGGCCTTCCTTTCAAAGCAAGTTGTTTTGCACACCAGGATTCACAGTTTGGGGAAGCTGTGCTGTGAGATAAGGATCACACGAAGCATTCAGCTCCAATCTGCCCTTTATCCAGCTCTGCTCAGAAACCTAGAGGGAAGTATGAGCAATCAGTCTTGCCAATGCAAATCAGATTGTTTGGTTCAGATAAAGCTTTTATAGGTTTGATTTTTTTTTCTCTCTTATCTTGGGCCAGAAAGAAACTGGTGGTTCTGTTTGGTGTGACAAGTTGCATGTTTTACTACTTCTGCAGGAAACACTTGTGTGGAATGAAGGATGTGAAGCTCTTGGCAGTGCTAAGCCCCCCCTAAAAACGTTTTTTACCAGCAGCATGTGGATTATGACACAGCCACATTTGGATACTTGATTCCAGGGCTGGACACAGTCCAGAAACCAGAGATCAAGCCAGGGCAGCAGAAAGCGTGACCAGGAGGACAGGGCTCAGACCTGCAACTGCCAAGTGCAGGAGGAAACGGCCCAAACCCCCTGCACCCCACTCCTGATGCCCTGCACAGTAACATCAGTCTTTTCATAGGTTATGACAAGTCCCTCCCTCCTGGGGTGCCACAAGACCAGGTCCAACAGTCAGAGAGATGTTGAGTAATGGAACAGTAAGTTTGAAAATGAAACGTACTGGTCATTCTGAATAATCAGTGAAATTACTCTGACGGTGACTCTGCAGCTGGCAATGGCAGCCAGACTGCACATCTGGAAACACAGAACAAATCTAGATTCACTACAAAGTTTACATTCTGATATGAACCTCTAAGTTTAATCAGTTTTAGAACTCTGAAGGTGCTAAATTGAGATGTTACAAGGAATTAGCGAGATGTGAATCTAAGCTTTGCTGGTTTCCCAGTGAACATCAGTGAGTGCACCAGGGCTGGCTGTGTCAGAATGAAATCTGGAGAGAGCTAGAGGGCCAAAATGTTCCCCCTCTGGTAGCTAGAGTCTTTTTATCTGGGTTCCGCCCCGAATTCTGCTGATGTGTTTCAGGAAAGCAGCATTGAGTTTTCCAAATTCTGAAGGCACTTATCTCATTACTTCTCTCACCACCTCATTGCCTTGTACTTTTTATGCAAACAAGATAACAGCAGGAAATAAAAATATTTCAGGTGACAGATACAACACTCCCCGAGGGAAGGGCACGTTTATTGCAGATTGATTTGTATTCGATGTTGCAGATTGATTTATTGCAGATTGCCCCGGGGCAGGTAAGGAAGGAGCCCCTGCCCTTACAGGTGATAGTGGCAGAGGCTGCAGGGGGGCCCCTTCCACGGGCAGAACAGAGGTCAGAGGAGCCATGAGGTGGTCAGCACTTCCACAGAGAAACGCTCCCACACTCAGATTAAAATGTAACCTTGCCTAGAGGATTTTGCCGTCTGCCGGGGCAGATGTGTCATTACGTAACCCCCCGACCCCGCCGGTCAGGGGCCCGCACCGAGGGCCGGAGCAGCCGCTGCCGCTGCGGTCACCTTGCCCCGCGCTGCCGGCCGGGCCGGCCGGACCTCGCGCTGCGCATCGACCGCGCCGGCCGCAGCGGCTCCGCGGGGGCGTGCCCGGCCCCGCTCGGCCGAGGGGCGCCCCAGGCTCCCCGGGGCACCGACCCCCGGCGCCCCCCGGCCCCTGCGCGGCCCCGGGACCCGCTCCGCGCCCCGCGCTCCCTCAGCTCCCGCAGCTCCACGGGCAGTGACGTCGTCCCCGTGACGTCACGATGATGTCATTACCTTGAAGGCGTGCGCCTCGAGGCCGAGCGGGCCCAGCGCGCTGCGGAGCTGTTCCGCCACGCGCCGCTCCATGGCGGCGGCGGCGCCGCGCGGGGCACCACGGGAGCGGTAGTTCCGGCCCGGTGGGACCCCTGGCGCGCATCCCCGCGTCTCCTAGGAGACGGCGCGGCGCGCAAAGAACCGCGGGAGTTGTAGTGCGAGGCGCCCTCCCCTCCGCGGCGGCTCCCCCGAAGGGGACTCGGTGTCCCAGCATGCTCAGCCAGCGCAGTCCGGCCGGGGTCCCCTCGCCGTTCCCGCCTTGTGCCCGTTCCGTCACACCGCCAGGGATTAGGCCTCTTTCCTGGCCTCACTCTGTGTGAAAGCCCCACCTGTGCCTGTGGGAGGGTGCTGCTCGCTGAAACAGTGAGGCCTCTGTGCTGGCAATCCTTTCTCCTTCCCCTTCTGAAAGTACACGCGTTCTTTGCAGATTCTGTATTCCCTACCGCTTGCCACACTGGAGACTGAGCCTCAGATTTGGATCTCCTTACCCTAATCTTTATAGCTGCTTATCACAAGCTTTATAGTACTTGTACAATGCTCTCCAGCCTGTAGTCTTGGGTTTTATGAAGTTCAGGACACCAAATGTGCAAGTTCTTGGGGACAGAACTACCTCAGATATGCAAACTTACTGCTTTGTGGAGTTTCCTTATATCTTCTAGTACCCCAAGAGTTCCTTCTTATTATATCCATGCCTTCTCTACTAGGAGGGCAGATGGATCCTGTCAGTCATGTTTAGAATTACAGTTTGTTGTTTCCAGATCTCCCTGTATTTCCAGCTTGTGAAGATGCACCAGACCACTAACTATAGGACGAAACTGTAAGTAATCCTCATACAAAACCTGTTTCCACCCATCCGCCCATATCACTGAATATCTCAGTCTGTGAATTGACTAAAACAGGAGGAAGAGCTCCGGCAGGAGCTGATCCATAAGCTGTGAAGCAGTGAAAGTAAAGGCAGTGGAACCAAAGCACTGATAGCTGCAAGAGCCTCTTACACACAGATCACTTCTTGTCTAGGTTTCTGAAGTCCTGCTGAAGAAACAACAAGCTGAGGGTAGCCTAGCACAAGGTTGCTCCATCTCCCTGCTCAACAAAGAGAAAGAGCTGGATATAAGGCAGAAATGCTTTGCATCTTAGATGCTGGAAATAAGAGGGTTTTGCCTATGTTGGCATGTTATATGTCCAGCTCTCTTCTTTTCAGTTGTTCTGAGATTTTTCTGAAGGGCTTAATGCCATGCTGAATCAGAGGCTGCCTCTGGAAAACACTTGGAAGTGGTTGTCCCCTGTATTTCAGGTGAGCAGCCACAAAGCTCAGTCTAACAGGGCACAATCTTACAGTTTGTACACATCAGGTGGAGGGGACACCCCTTCAGGGAATTTGGGGGTGCCAGGTGCACGCACGCTGCAGGAGCCAGCGCAGCTCCCGGCTGTCAGGCGGAGCAGCTGCCTGGGAGCTGCAGGAATGTGTCACAGGAGGGTGCTGCTGGCTGGCGGCTGCTCCGAGCTCTGCAGGACAGCTCGTGCTGTGGAAATTGCTGGATTGGCAAGCTCAGAGATGCTGGGGACTGATCTCTCATCCTGCTGTTCTCCTTTGTACCTGCCTGTGGAGCACAGCTCATTTCCAGGTGTGGCTCCGGCTTTACTGATGCAGAAGGAAACAGATTTGTCAGCTCTGTGAGTGGGCTCTTCCATTTTAATCCTGAACTGGCAAGGCTTGAGGCAGGTTTGACTTCAGTGTCTGCCCTCTCCTGGAGTTAGGCTAAGTGCAGGAAGGGTGTTTGGTCCTTCAGACCCCCAGGGAAGGGCTGACAGCACCAGGACTACCAGAGTTCATTTGGACAATGCTCTCAGATGCACAGGTGATTTTTGGGGTTGTCCTGTGCAGAGCTAGGAGTCAGACTAGACAATCCTTATGGGTCCCTGTCACAGCACATACCACGGTCAAGACAGCCACAATACATACAGTGTCACCATACTGTATGTATTAGCAACCCACCTCACCAGAATGCTTGAAGCATTCTACCATTTATTCCCCTTCAGGCCAACCTTTTATTCCCCTCATTTTGTATGCCTTACACCTGTATGCCCTCTGTACCCTCTGTGATTGGTCAGTAACCTCAGCCCTCCATATCTCATTACCTTCAATGCTGGTCACCACAAGCTGGTGCCTACAGGTCCCTCCCAGCACAGGATATTCTGTGATTCTGAATGGCAGCCTCTGGTACTGAGATGTTTGTATCCTGAGGGTTGGCATCATCTGCTCTTTCCATGTGGGTGTGGAGGATGGTACCTGCTGTTCTTTCACAGCTGTCCTTGGAGCTGTTCCCTGAGCCACCTCATCATCTGCCTTGTTTAACCAGGAGTGTTGCTGTCTCCTACCCAGGCCCTCTGTCAGGGTAGTCTCCTTACTTTACTTGCACTTTGCTTCAATGACTGAAATAATTGGTGAGTTTAAGAAGAGGTGCTCATTTGAAATGCCTGAGCTCTAATCCCTTCCCAGTTTCCCCATCCCTCACATTCCTTTCTCCCCAGCTGGTGGGAACTGGCTTTGTTTGTGCCTCAAACCTCTGCTAGCTTGGCCCTTGCTCTCCCCCACCCCTACCAAGGGTTCTGCCCTGCTCCCTGGAGAGAAGTGAGTGACATCTCAGCCTCCTTGTTGAAGATCCTTAGATCTCTTTGGCTCGGTTTCATTGTCCCCTCTGTCCACCCCAGCTGCCCTCAGACAGCTGCCAGATGTCTGAACTGTCACAGGTCTGGCTGAGAGTTCATGTCACTGCTTCCATTCTCTCCCCCTAACAGCTTTGTGCTTCAGCAAAACAGCATCCAGAGAATATGGTTCACTTCCCTGGGGGAAGGCAGCAATGTGTCTGTGAGGTGTCTGTGTCCCAGGTATGGCTTTGTGGTTTGTTCTATTATTAGGAAAAACACAACATTTTCATTCGTCCCCCTCAGGCTAATGCTGCTATGACAGGTTGCATACAGTGTGAATTGGTGTTATCATGAAGCATTTATACAAAAAGGATCATTAGATCTCATTGTTCTCCACAACAGTAAATGACAAAGACACAATGTTGTACTGATTGTAACAGAAGGGATTTTCCTTCTGCTTTCCATCCACAGCTCTTGAAACCTTTTCCTGACCCTGGCGAGGAACAATTGCTCTGCATTAGGTAGGAACCTAATGTGAGAGAGAGAGAGACACAAATTGTTTGAACAGTCAGGGCAATTTGGTAACTGAAATTGAGTTAAAGGACATCTTAATTCCTTGTCAGTTTTTCTGATCTTTCTCGCTCTTGACCACAAGCATATAAATGTCTATTTTTATTAGTAGGGAAGTATTGGTGAACACTGAGTCTGGAGGTTAATGTAGATTCATTATTAGGTTTTCTTTGATAAAAAATATTGTATCAACTTGGTGAGATGGTTTCAATAATACAACTTCATTGCAGTTCTCCTGTAATTAAATATTGATTCCCTATTTCTTTCTATAAAAGCCTAATGCCTTCCCTTATTATGTCACCCTCCCACCTGTTAAGCTCTGATTTCATGAGACGTTGTCTGTGCTGTCAACATCAGCTTAAAATGTTCCAATCTCTCTGCATTTTCCTGCCCTGGCCTCACAGCACATTGCCTCCCAAATTTCTGCCACTGCAGTTGTTGGTGTGCTGTAAATCTGATCAGGGAGCCGAGCTGGTTCTAACAAGTGCGTCATTGTTTGGGCTTTTTTGTTGGATTTTTTTTTCCCCTGAAGTGGTGTGCTTCACAGTGCTGCTGCAGGAAAAAATTGTGCTGGCACATTTGAGAGAACAATGTGATCAGGGCTAGGTGGGGAGGCAGAGGTTCTGCTGCCAGCCCATTCACCTCTGAAAACAGAACTGAATTGCTCAGCAGAGCTGCCTTCTGCTGCATGAGGCACAACTGTTGGAAACCCCCCAAAGTGATGCCACCCCATCCTCACCCCCAGTAACTGCTCCAGCAGGCATTGCTGAGTGTCAGGGACTGCCAGTGTTATCCTTCAGTCAGACCTACAGTCTCTGATCTGAAAGATCAAGTGTAAAGTCTCTTCTGGAAGGAAGTAACATCCATGGCACCTGCAGGGAAAGAAGAGATCACAGGAATGATTTCACACTTACTCCAACATTAGTAACAGTCTGGGATATGGTTTTCCAGCCTCTGGTTTAGAGATCTTGTGGTAAGGTCAGGTGTCCTGTTGTCCCTTTCCAACACAAACTGAGCCCTGTATGGGAAGGGTTTGGCATTGTGGCCATGGCTCAGAGCAGAAATGAGGTGGCTGATTCTTCATGGTTTAAACCTGAGCAATGTGGAGGTGGCTGGAGCTGTTGTTGCCACAGACAGGTGAATTCCAATGCCTGAACATTTTTGCCAATATGTTCTCCTGCCTGTCATGGAAGCCTTGTGCCACTGCTTGTAGCCATGTAAGAATAAGAAAATGCTATTAAATTGGAATAACTGCAGTTTCTCTAGGTGTCACAAAACGTAGGCAAAGGATGCTTAAACTCAGCAAGTCTATCCTTGAAATTTTGGCCTAATCTTCTGGGGTTTTTTTT